ACATTCCATAAACCTGTTTGACCGAAATCAGTTAAGTCTGATACTACATTCAACCAGGTTTATCTTAAACCAGTTTCAAAATGGATGAAACTAGTTTATGTGCACTGAACTTATGTTCTGTTATGGATTTAAGCTAGATTCTGATCACTTAAACTGGTTGATGTGCAACCTCTGTCCCTAGCCTTAATGTTCTGGTACCAACCTCAGGTCCATTGCTTTTAGCAGGTGCAGCAGGGAAGTTTCTCACAGATGCAGCAGGGAAATCTTGGCTAGCCCTAGGTGGCCTCCCATTTTGGTTGTGAAAGAAGTTTTAGGTCCCCCTTTCCATAGAATGGGATAGCCTGGAACATCACTCTCCCAGAGATCATGCTTTCCACAGGCACTCAGTGAGCACATCTACACATGCACTTTACTGCATGTGCTACTAATTAGCTCTGCACAAAAGCATCACTGTCTACATGTGCATCAGTATTAAGGCACAGTAAACTAATTATGTCCATCATAAGATAGTACTGTTGGAGACAGCACTATGTTATAGCAGGGTCAGTTTCTGAGCTGAAATGCACGTGTTGACAGTAACCGAACAGGGACCAGACTCCTGCCTGTTGCCTACCCACACAGCTTCTCAGGGTCAACGCCCTCATACCCCAGCTAGCTCCTTGCCATCCAGTGCTGCTACCCGGAGCCTAGGGCTGACCTCCTGTGCCCCCTGCCAGTCCGGCTCTGCTCTGCCCTGGCTTGAATTACTGCTGTCCTGGGCACATGTGTGGACACTGTGCCTGGGAGCAGATTATTCTAGCTCAAATAGCTCCGGAGTTTATTGCTTTGCCTTAATTTCATGTGTAGATGCACTTATTAAGGAGAAAAACAACCAAAGTATTTATTATGCAAGAGAAAAGAATTATACAAGCAAAACTAACCGTAGGTTTCGAGACATAATAGAAGACAAGTAAAATTTCTTACCCTTTCTAAGGTGGCTATACCTTAGCCTTCTTATGAGAGTCCTGTCAATGTTTTTAGAGATCAGGCTTCTTGCTGATTCTGCCAGCCCTGACTGTTGGGGCCCCAGACTCCTTTTAGGCTCAGGGAAAAGCCAAAGCCCTGACCACCTTACAAACACCCTTTATAATAGGCCTGTGCGAATAGGGAAGTATTTGATTCAGATTCAGCCGATTTGGAGGACAGCGATTTGATTTGGTGATTTGAATCGCTGTCGCAATTCAATTTGGCTCAACTAGAATCAGAGATTTGGGCCTGATTCGGTTGAGTGGGGGAGAGGCAGGTTCTTCTGTGGCTCCTCTGGCTGTGCCTGCCTCTCCCTGAGTGGGGGGAGCTGCGGGAAAAGCCCCTGTGGCTGCCCTGCCCAGCCCCAGCCTCCTGGCACTTCAAAAAAAAAAAAAAAAAAAAACCCCTGTAGGCCCCAGCTGAACAAGGGGAAATAAGGGCCCTGGGGGGCTTGGGGCAGAC